AGAACGAACCATCGAGCGAAGCATGTACGAATAAACGAACACACAATTGAACAAACCAACGATCGAACGAATGCGCACGAACGAACCAACAAACAAACGAATGGACGCATTAAATGAACGCACGAACGAACAAACAAACGAACGTACCAACGAGCAAACCATGTACGAACAAATAAACGAACAAAACCAACAAACGAACCAATTAATTATCCACCGAATGAATGAGCAAAGCAAGTAAGAAATAACGAACGAACAAACAAACAAACGAACCAACGAACAAACCAATGAATTATCCAACGAACGACCCAATAAACAAACCAACGAATGAACACACGAACCAACAAACAAAATAACCAACGAACTATTAAACGAACGAAGCGAACCAGCAAGTGAACCAGCAAGCGAACAAACCGAACGAACCAACGACCGAACGAACCACCACGCCAACCAACGAACGAACCCACGAAAGAACCATCGAACAAACCAACGAACGAACTAAAGTATGAACCAAGGAACGAACATACCTACGAACAAACGAATGAAAGAACCGACGTGCAAACCAAAGAACGAACCAACGTACGAAGATACGAACGAACCAACGAACTCACGAACCAACGAACAATCCGTCGAAAGAACCAACGAATGAATGTCAGAAGGAACCAACGAACACACGTACGTACGAAGAGGAACGAACCAACGAGCGAACTAAGTATGATCAATTGAACGAACGAACTAACGTACAAACCCACAAACGAACCAACGCAGGAATCAACCAACGATCCAACGAACGAATGCTCAACAATTGAACTAACGAACAGACGAACAAACAAATGGACGAACCAATGAACGAATGCACGAACGAACGGACCAGCGAACAAAGTAAGGAAAGAACATACGAACCAACAAATAAATATTTGAATGAACAAACGAACGGGCAATAAGCGACTGAACTAACGAACGAAAGATCAGACGAACGAACGAGCCATCGAACGGACCAACGAAGGAACGAAGTAACGTACGGAGAAACGAACTTACGAAGAAAATAACAAACGAACGAACAAACGTGCAAACAAACGAACCTACGAAAGAACGAATACACGAACAAACAAAACCACGAACGTACTAACCATAAAACGAAAAAAGGAGTGAATCACGTAAATGAACGAATCAACGAACGAACGGTTAAACAAACCCACGAACAAACGAATGAACCAACGAACTTACGAACGAACGACGAAAGAACCAACCAACAAATGAACGAACGAACAAATGAACAAACGGAAGAAACAACGAACAAACCACGTGCGCACCAACGAACGAAGCCACGAACGAAACAATGACCGAACCAACGATCCAGCCAATGAACGGACCAAAAACAATCCAACGAACGAACGCACGAACAAACCAACGAACGACCCAGCGATCGAACAAGTACAAACAAATGAACGAACAATTGAACGATTCAACGAACGAACGACCACGAATCAACGATTAAAAAAATGAATTCACAAACGAACATACGAACCAACGAATGAACTCACGGACGAATGAACAAACGAACCTAAGAACTAACGAAGCAATGAACGAAAACAAACGACAAAAAGAATCTACGAACAGACAAGCGAACGAAAACCAATGAACAACCGAACGAACGCAGGAAAGAATAAACGTACGCACGTACGAACAAACGAGTGAACCAAGTAAGAATAAATGAACGGACAAAACCAACGAACGAACATACCAACCAATGAACTAACGAACCGGTGAAGCAAGTACGAACAAACGAACGAAGGAAGTACTAACAAACGAACGAACTAAAAAAACGAACGAACCAACCAATGATTAAACGAATGAACCAATGATTGAACGAACAAACGAACGAAAGAGCGAATTAACGAACTAACGACCGAACGGACCAACTAACGAGAGCGAATAAACGAAATAACGAACGAATGATCAAACGAACGTACGAACGAACGCTCGGACGAACCAACGAACAAAAGAACGAATGCACGAACGAACCAACACACCATCAACCGTACTAACGAACGAACAAATGTATGACTGAAGGAACAAACGAACGAACCAACGAACAAACGGCAATCATCGACTGAACCAACGAACGAAAGATCAGATAACTAACGAACGAACAGACGAGCGGACCAGCGTACGAACGAACGTGTCAAACGTAGGAACAAGGGAAATACGAACGTATGAGCGCACGAACGAATAAACAAACCAACGAACGGTCAAACCAACGACTGAACTAACGAACGAACAACAAACGAAGCATCGAACGATTTAACGAACAAACGAACGAGCCAACGAACGTTCGTGAAAACTAGCTCGTAGATCCGCATTTTTAGAACGCCATTTTTTCCAAACTTTTTGAATGGATAGTGGTAATTGCACACTTTAATATGACTTGAAGTTCATTTCGGTTTATTTTGTGTTTTTTCGAAATTTACATAAACGTAACTTCTTTGAAAGATCTCTCACGCTGTCATAATGCATATTTCCAGCAATTTGTAAACACGATTGTATTTGTGAGTTAATGTGCTACAAATGACTTCATATTACTGATTATCAAAAAGAAAAATATAGTTTATTTGAAGAAATAGTAATTTATAATGAATTAGTTTGTTTGTATTGTATAATTTTTAAAAAAGACTTAATATATTTGAAACAAATAATGTTATTCAGCTTCCGGGTCAATGACCCCCATCTCGATCAGATTTTTGTCAAGTTTCCCTGATCCATTGAGCAAATGCTGAGATGGCCCCTTGTTTTGCTTGTGGACGTAAATGTAGCTTCACTATGCGCACGTTTTGTTGAACCCTCCTTTTGCTTGTAGTGGTAGGAGAAGAGGAGATGGCGAGTTACTATTTTGTTAGCAATTCTGAAAAATCATACTTGCAATTCGTTTACCGATGCAAATAAGTTTTATATAACTCGGAAACGAAAATGTCAATTTTATTCAAATATTACAAATCTCTCGATTTTTTAAAATTTATTTTTATTTATTTATGTTAAACTTTCACTCATCTTTCAACTATTTATAGTTAAAATGACGGGAAGGGATTCTGGAACTCAAGAAAACGTCCGCAGATAATCTTCTCCCCCATACATGTAGTTTTTACTCTTTTTTGACTAAATAAATCTAAATCTAAACTATACATAGTTGAAAGATGAATAAAAGTTTGTTTTTTTTTAAATTAAGAAAGCTTACAAAATAGTAACTTACCCTCACCTCTACTCCTCCTCCTACTACTACAAGCAAGCACAGAGTTCAACAAAACGTGCGCATAGTGAAGCTACATTCTCAGGCTCAGGACTAGAATCATGCTAACTTCAACAAGCTCGTTAGGAAGCCACTTCATACAAGTCGGAGATTTGGTGTCTACGAAGCGGACACAATTCGGGGCTGGTCTGAAGCTTAAAGCTAAAAATCTGGGTCCGTACCGAGTCACAAAAGGCAAACATAACAATACGTATGATGTATACGAGGACGAAAATATAACTTTTGAAATGTCTAAATAAATAAATATTTATTGTCTTAGTATTCAATTAATGTCTCTATGTATTTAGAAGCATATATAACATACTATTTTTAATTTTTCTGCCCCTAAAAATTGGCCGTCCTAGGACAGTGCCCATCATAATCCACAGTGTGTGTATTGGGTAAAGAACATAATTAAGGCTTGCAATGCTTAGCAATTTTTTTCTTGTGCATATTGGTTTGATGATTGGATAGACCGGCACCTCGAAATACTTCCGAGTGTTCCGTATAGATTTATTATTGCTTACACTGTTACATGCAAAACAGGTCACATGTTAAATACAAGCAGGTCCGAACGAGATTGCAGCGTTGCCTGGTAGTTTTTACTCATAAACGTTTTCAATTGATGGTATATCAGAATAATAAAGTGTCATATGGTTGCGGTAGTAGCACGCAGCTGATTGGTAGCCGCCCTGCAGTCAGGTAGCAGTACATAATGAAGGTGAGCCAACCTTACAGGCAAAACGTACAATTCTTTCATTAAAAAGGGTGACAACAAAGAAATTGGGTAACATAAATAACTATGTTTAAATCAGTTGCAAGGATAAATAATATTTAAAGGATTTATTTCGAATGTAAAACCGTGGTGGGTTTTCAAAATAAAATATTATTTCTACTCTGTGGAAGTGCACGGAGTGTTCTCCAAGGCGAAGGTGCAGGGATACACGACTTTGTCCTGTATGGCTCCTAGGACAGTAGAGGATTTTATCCAGACCCTATGGACAGTTTAGCATGATGCATCCTGAAGATAGCAGCTGGCATGAGGATGGGACAAAATTAAAAAGCTAGCCCAGAAATTATTATTCGAGAAATGTCCATGCCATTCTGTAGCACCATTAGTTTCTGAATTATTGCCTGGCCACAGGTTATGAAAGAAATTACTTATGCAAATGAACAAAATTGCATGCACTTCAAAAGTAAGTTACTCCCAATTCCAAAAGAAATACGAGATAATAAATACCTTGACATTATAAAATTCATAAGGTTTATACAAAAATAAATAAATAAAATAAAATGTTGCAAAAATGTATTTTCAAACATTATGAAATAAAATACTGAAATAACACAAACATACTTCCAAACAAAATTAAAATTACATAGGTACAAAGCACTTGAATTATAAAATGCAGTCGGAAATATTACAAAGAATGAAATTATTAAAACAATTTTCATATGCTAACAAATGGTCTAAGATCTCACTTTATTACATTATTCAGACACTTTTTGAACATCTTAGTATACTTGGAACTTAGTAAGCAGTTGGTAACTTAGGACTTCATATATTGTCATGTTTTAACATCGATATCTTAATGAAGTCACCAGCAATAAAAATGTGTAATAATACTAAACCTTTCGATTCATGGCAATATGACCATGAACTATTAAATTATCATAATTTGTAATGAAAAAAGAATTTCATAAAAAGGACTAGTAAACCTCACTATATTATTATCATGAAATCTGATGTGTTCCAGTTTACAACAGACCAGAACATCCAACAAACAAGGAGTAATACTGAACACCTGCCAATAAAAAGTGTTATTTTTTTTCCAATCATAATCTGTATCCTTCTCAATATCTTTGCAATTAAAATGTACATCAAAAACCTTCTTAATCCTCTTATGGTCTATTCAAAACATTATTTTAGACCAACTTGTAAATGCCAAAATTCTTATAATACAATTTATCTTTGATTAAGGAAATCATGCATTCCTGTTAAGCCGGTTGTACATAGTCATATTTTCTGAAAAAAATTATTTATAAAATGTTTCATCAAATGCAAAATTACGTAAAATCTGGTTTTCACACAGTATAATTAAGTTTTATTCAAAAAATTAATTTCATTAAAAAATTGTACACAATTGGCAATTGCCGGTGCGATAGCAATGCAACCAGTGAGAGAAACGCGAAGCTCAAACTCAACAAACTGCGCCATATGCACACGTAAGTTAGGTTAGTTTTCTTGAAAGAGGAGACTACACCAGTTCGAAATTACTGAAAGTGTTGACTGGGAGTGGTCGAGGGAAGCGGTTCACCATAAGTACCCTCGCTTGTATATTGTCAACGATTCTTTGTATTATAATCGTAATGGAAGACAAGATGGCGAAATAATAACAGCACACGGCATTCCCCGAAGGGAGTGAGCTAAATAACTTCACGAAAAATTTGACTGTGACACACTTATTTTATGAAACGTTTGATAATATTCTTTTTAATTTTAGCATTATAAACGACCTTTTTCGGTTTCGTTCATAATATATTTGGGCCCAGATGAATTTGCCATTTATGGCACGAACAATTGCTTCATGACATCTTTTCTTGTAAATTTATACAGTTATTATCCAAAAAAATTAAGTATGAAAACGTTTATAATGTTACTTCATTGCATTCGTATAGATTTGAAAACTCGCTGCTAACGACGCTCATTTCCCAAACATGTACTACTGCAATGAAGTGTAACATTATAAACTGGTTGCATAACGTACTGTTATTTACGTTTCACAGAACTCGTTGTATAGAAAAAATGACAACAAACATGAACGCAATGAAATTATGTAAAAAATAATTTTCATTGGCTTCAAATTAGATAAGAGATGGAGGAGAAGAAGTGAGTAAGTGAAAGAGAACGAGTGTAAGTGTGTGTGTGTGTGAGAGAGAGAGGGGGGGAGAGAGAGAGAGAGAGAGAGAGAGAGAGAGAGAGAGAGAGAGAAAGAGTGAGTGAGAGAGAGAAAGAGTGAGTGAGCGAGAGAAAGTGAGTGAGCGAGAGAAAGAGTGAGTGAGCGAGAGAAAGAGTGAGTGAGCGAGAGAAAGTGAGTGAGCGAGAGAAAGAATGAGTGAGCGTGAGAAAGAGGGAGAGAGAAAGAGGGAGTGAGAGAGAGAAAGAGGGAGTGCGAGAAAAAAATCAATATAACTAAATAAATTATAATATGAAACTGTTTGAAGCAGAAAGTTGTCTACTACATTAGATGTAGACTGCAGTCTGTAAGTTTGGTATTTTCCTATAAACAAGAGCACTTGCAGTTCCTGCAAGGAGCTACATCTTTGAAACAGTGACGGCGACATTGATGCAAATAGCACCAACCTCGACAAATAAATATAATGATAATGGCACATTTAATTTCATCTATATATCAAAAAAAAACAAATGAATAACCTTCGAAAAAATAGTTTCCTTTTAATTAAAAAATTACTTTGAACAATCAATAAATAATAGAAACATTAGAGAAGCCACTAACTGATGTATCAAAAATTAAAAGAAAATTTTTAATGTAACTAGTGATAATTGATTAGAGAAAAGATACAGATCTTTGAACATTTTGAAAATGTTTTAACAATTCACTAAAAAGTTAATTGATAAAGAACTATTTTTCAACAATTTTAAGTCACTTACTTATTCTCTAATAAAATAATGCATCATATCTTTGCAAGACAATTGAATAATTAATTACAAGTAAGCGGCTTTTTAGTGACAAAATCATTAATGAGGCACTGAGAATAAAAACCAAATTTCATGTAGTATTAGGTAATGCGGAATCTGTTCCTATAATGTGTGACCTTGCAAAGAAATCAGCAAATTTATGTTGTTGATTGGCTGTCTTCTAGGGTAATCTTGAGCATAGGGTTGAGCTCCTATGAATAAATATGCTGCTCCTGTGAATTAATTTCTTTCTCATTTGCTTTTTGTTCTCAACACCTCGATAAACAGACATATATTTAAAAAGGCCAAAGAAACTTACACTTAGTCATTGTACTGAGAGATCAGAAAAGAAAGCATAATTAAAAATAATAGGAAAAACTCATAAATTCTTCCATCAATTTTAAGGAGTAAGCAAAGCTATCAACAGGAAAGAATAAGATAATTATTTTCTGAAGTCAAAACATCTCCATTTCATTTTCTTCATCCAATCTATTTTAATCATATATAACATATTTTATTTACAAATCAGGTGTGAATAAGCACTACCAAATTTCTTCTACTGCTTAAGCTTGCACAGGATTGCGATGTTGCTGTCCATTTTGTTCAGCGGCAGCATAACTTGGAGGAAGAACATATACAATGGTGCCACCTTCTCGGCGAAAGGTGGGAACTGGAGCAGTCTGAACAACTTCAATTCGCAAAGGAAGGCTCTTGTTGCCTAGCATACACTGAAATCTACTGCTGACTGATACTGTCAACTCACTGCGTCGCAACCTATTAACAGAAAAAAAAAAAAACACATTGAATAACTGACAAACTTGGTTTAAAATTAACTCTTAAGTTATCAAGGAAACTCCTAACTTAATACAACTAGTCTTAAATATAGTTAATTTGCTCTAACCATAAAATTAGTAAAGAAAATAAAAAAACACTTGACACCATCTTTCAAAGTATATTTCATGGTAAATTATAACTTAATTGAGTTCTGAATTGCTTGAAAACTGTAAGTGCTAGAAAATGTGCACAACACAACATTTAGAGCAAATTTCTACAAATGCACATTTACGATTCTCTCAATATGGATGAGGTTAATAGACAGAGGAATATCCATTTTGTAAAAATCGTACGTATAGTTTAGGTGCTAGTGGTGTTCACTGACTGACACAAGGCTGGCAGACAATGACTGACAGAATGACAGGAAGACAATGACCGGCAGACAATGACTGACAGAATGACTGACAGAATGACTGGCAGAATGACTGGCAGAATGACTGGCAGAATGACTGACAGCCAAAACGTTTTAGTCTTTAGAAATCACTTAAAATGTGCGTATTAAAGGAGTGAGAGATATTTCAATAAAATTACATTTTATTGACAATTACAAATAAAATTAAATTTGTGTATTTTTTTGAAAAAACAACAACAAATTAATACAGTAAAATTAATTCTAAGACACCTTACACAGAGAAACTAGCACTATCTGTTTAGAAAGTGTGAAAATAAAAATTGGAGCCGTTTTAAAGAAAATAGCCCTGAGCTTCGCTCATTTTCAGAAAACTGTTTAGTTTTTGGGAAACTTTATCTGACCTTTTTTAAAGCACATGTATTCATTAATATAGTAATAAAAACAAATTGCCGCTAATGTAAATATTAGAGTCAGTAGCCTGTCAAAAAAATCACATTTTTGTAATTTGAAGAAACAGCAATGAAAGAATAGAGCAATATGGCTTTATTGCCATCTTATAGAAAGTATTTACTCTTCCAAATGTTTAAAGAAAAAAAAAATTGAGACTTTTCGAAAAAAAACTTGGTTTTGTAATTTCTTTAAATTGATAATATGGGACACAATATTGCTCGAAAACTACCATAATTTTGAAAAAATATATATGACCCTAATTAAAGAACTAATTATAGACACATTTTATACAAAAGAAAAACCTCATATTTTCAATTTTCAAAAAGGACCAAGAAATTAAAATTTATAATTTACTTTTAGTTTACGAAATAAAATTTCCCCAAAGTTACCACTTTCCGCGTTATGAAAATTCATGTCTCCTCCTATTCGCTTCCCCTCTGTCCCTAAAGCGGTGCCGTGGGAGACGCCAGATTTACACAGAACCTGCGGTCGCTTCCGATGACATACGAGGGTCTCTGTGTTATCGCCTTCCGCTTACGGAGTAAGAGGAGGTGTCACAGAGGAACGAATAGCGCCGACTATTTTTCGGAAGTTACAAAACACTCCCACCATCACGTAAAATTTGGAAAAATATTAAATTAGGCGTTACAATCAGTAATTCCTGGTGTAAGAATAAGACTAAAAAAAATATATATAAAGGTGGAAAAAAGAAAAGAAAAAAAAAAGAAAAAAAGAAAAAAAGAAAGAAAGAAAGAAAGAAAGAAAGAAAGAAAAAAAACCCTCCAACCACACGCATAGTTTCCGAGATCACCGAGAAATAAAATTGAGCTTCGAGTGATCAATAACAAAAACAACGTGCCAAATTTCAATTATTATTAATTAGGGTCTGCCATATGGTATTCTGTCATATGGTATTCTGTAAACAAGTAAAATACTTTAATAGAAATTCATAGGAGCAAACCACACAAAAATTAGACGATTAGTATCCAAATAGACGAGAAACAAAATGGAGCGTATAGTGAAAAAATTAAAAACCTCCCCCCATTACGTGAAAAATTTGGAAAAATATTAATTTCGGCGCAGCAGTCTGAAATTCTAGATATAAGTGGAAACATGTAAGAAAAATTCATAGGTGCGAACCAACTACAATCAGACGAATAGTTTCGGAAATAGACGAGAAACAAAATGGAGCGTATAGTGATAGAGTTCAAAATACCCCCCCATCACGTGACAAATTTGGAAAAATATTAATTTCATCGTTGCCTTCTGATATTCTGGGAGTAAGTAGAACCCTTTAAACAGAAATTCAAAGGTGGAAATAAAACTCTAATCAGACTAATAGTTAACGAAATAGACGAGAAACAAAATGGAGCGTCAAGTGATCAAGTACAATACAACCACCCCATTAAGTGAAATATTTGGAAAAAAATTCAATTCGGCGTTGCCATATGAAATTCTGGGTGTAAGTAGAACACTGTAAGAGAAAATAAAAAGTAAAAACCAATCTCCAATTAGAGGAATATTTTCCGAAATACACGTATAACAAAATGGAACGTATAGTGATCAAGCTCAAAATAGACGTGACAAATTTGTCATTACGTGACAAATTTGACAAAATACTAATTTCGGCGCAGCCATCTGAAATTCATTGGACAAACTTGGAAAAATATTAATTTCGGCGCTGCGGTCTGAAATTCTGGGTGTAAGTAGAAACATGTAAGAGAAATTATAAGGTGCGAACCAAACTACAATCAGACGAAACGTTTCCAAGATAGACGTGAAACAAAATCGAGAGAATAGTGATAAAGTTCAAAATACCCCCCCGTTAGGTGACAAATTAGAAAAAAATATTAATTTAATTGTTGCCATCTGATATTCTGGGTGTTAGTAGAACACTGTAAAGGAAATTAAAAAATGAAAACCAAACTCCAATCTGAAGTTTAGTTTCCGAGATAAACGTGAAACAAAAAGGAACGTATAGTGATCAAGTTCAAAATACCCCCCCATTACGTGTCAAATTTGGAAAAATATTAATTTCGTCGCTGCAGTCTGAAATTCTGCGTGTAAGTAGAACACATTAAGAGAAATCCAAAGCTGCAAACAAAACTTCAATCAGTAAAATCGTTTTCGAGTTAGACGAGACATTAAATATAACGTATAAATGTCAAGTACAAAATACGCCCCTTTTACGTGACAAATTTGGAAAAATATTAATTTCATTGTTGCCATCTGATATTCTGGGTGTTAGTAGAACACTGTAAGGGTAATTAAAAGGTGAAAACCAAACTCCCATCAGAGGTACAGTTTCTGAGATAAACGTGAAACAAAATGGAACGTATAGTGATCAAGTTCAAAATACCCCCCCATTACGTGTCAAATTTGGAAAAATATTAATTTCATCGCAGCCATCTGAAATTTTGGGATTAAGTACAACACATTAAGAGAAATCCAAAGCTGCAAACGAAACTTCAATCAGAAAAACCGTTTTCGAGATAGACGAGAAATTAAATATTGCGTATAAAATTCAAGAACAAAATACCCCGCCATTGCGTGACAAATTTGGAAAAATATTAATTTCGGCGCTGCAGTCTGAAATTCTGGGATTAAGTAGACCATATTAAGTGAAATCCAAAGCTGCAAACAAAACTCCAATCAGAAAAACCGTTTTCGAGATAGACGAGAAATTAAAGAGAGCATATAAAGTTCAAGAACAAAATACCCCCCCCCCCATTACGTGACAAACTTGGAAAATTATTAATTTCATTATTGCCATCTGATATTCTGGGTGTTAGTAGAACACTGTAAGAGAAATTAAAAAGTGAAAACCAAACTCCAATCAGAAGTTTAGTTTCCGAGATAAACGTGAAACAAAATGGAACGTATAGTGATCAAGTTCAAAATACCCCTCCATTAGGTGACAAATTTGGAAAAATATTAATTTCGGCGCAGCCATCTGAAATTCTGGGAGGAAGTAGAACACTTTAAAAGAAATCCAAATCTGAAAACCAAACTCCAATCAGAAAAACCGTTTTCGAGATAGACGAGAAATTAATTAGAGTGTATTAATATCAAGAACAAAATACCAGCCCATTACGTGACAAATTTGGAAAAATATTTATTTTGACGCTGCAGTCTGTAATTCTCGGTGTAAGTAGAAACATGTGGGAGAAATCCAAAGGTGCAAACCAAACTCTAATCAGAAAAACCGTTTCCGAGATAGACGATAAACAAAATGGAGCGTATAGTGATAAAGTTCAACGCCCCCCCCATTACGTCACAAATTTGGAAAATATTAATATCGGCGCTGCAGTCTGAAATTCTGGGAGTAAGTAGAACACTTGAAGAGAAATACAAAGGAGGAAACAGAACTTCGATCACACGAATAGTTTCCGAGATAGACGAGAAATAAAATGGAGCGTATAGAGATCAAGAACAAAATACCCCAACATAATGTGACCAATTTGGATGAATATTAATTTCGGCGCTGCAGTCTGAAATTTTTGGGGTAAGTAGAACACTTTAAGAGAAATACATAAGTGAAAATCAAACTCCAATCAGAGGAATAGTTTCCGAGATACACGACAAACAAAATGGAGCGTATAGTGATCAAGTTTAAAATACCCGCCAATTACTGTGTACTTTGAACACTTTAAGAGAAATACAAAGCTGAAAACCAAACACCAATCAGACGAATAGTTTCCGAGGTAGACGAGAAACAAAATGGAGCTTTGAGTGATCAAGTACAAAACCCCCCCCCCCCCCATTACGTGACAAATCAGGAAAAATATTAAATTAGGCGTTGCCATCTGTAATTCTGGGTGAACCAGTTTATTCAGTTTCGTTAATCTTTAACAATTAGCATAAAACGTATTATATATGTTATCATAAAGTCAAAACCCCTTAACAAAACGCCCAAATATAAATTTCTCCAAACTTACCTCAACAGGGTAATTTAACACACAGATTAACTTCCTTAACCTGGCGACAATGGAGAAAGTTTACGAATAGTAGTCTTCCGTACGTACGGGGATAGACTACTGTGCCACACGACAGTGGCAGTCCTAGTATTGAGAATTCCACAGGAAAACTAATGATGCTGTAACATCACATTCTCTCTCGCATCAGTAATGGTTACTTTAAATTATAATAATAACAGAAATTTCGGTATTACATCTAGAAACATCGCCCACAAGGAGAAGTTATTCTCAAAATTTCAAGCTTTAATATCGCGGGGTTTCCATTAGTTTATTGCAAACAGATAATTAGAGATATTCTGGCAAAAAAAGTGCAGGGAAATTCGAATATTTCGAAAATTAAGCGAAACTGCTCATATTTTTAAAAAAATGAACATGCCTTTATTGAAAGATGTAATTTTAAAGAACATATTCCATTAAGTAAAATTTCTCCGTCTTCAAATCTTCTCCGTTCTTTATACATAGGGGGGGGGGGGAATTGGAATTATTTTTCTACAAATTGCATTGAACGTCAAGCGAAAACTACTCCTTTAAAAATTCTGCATAGCCTTATTTAAAGATCTAAGTTTTTAAAACACATTTTATGATAGTTCTTCTACCGAAAAATCGCCGGTTTTTCTCAGCATTACAAATTTACGCCTACTACGTAAGTAGTATGCGCGAAAGTGATAAGGATTTGTAGAAATTTAGGTAAAGCTCTTCGAAACTAGGTCAACGCAGCACACGTCCTGCCGCTCACGTCTGCTTCCTGAGGCATTGTTTATACACATCTCCAAAACGATGCGTCAACGTTTCCCGAAATCTAGTTTCAAATTCGAAGGGCTAGCGTTCCGTTCCTTGGCCACGATCTACACAATGAAGTTTTATGTGACTGCATTGCGTTTGTGTGTGTGTGTGTGTGTGTGGGGGGGGGGGAGTTTGTTTCTTTTTTGGTAACGTAACCACGTTTCGCGAACATTTCTCCTTTCACAAAGACGGGTGTGTTTGGGGGTGGAATACAGGGGGGTCGTACTACCACACACGAGACTTCCTTGCACAAGTATCCATACAAATTTTACAATTATAACAGCAAATCCGCCAGTCATGCTTACAATGACCAACAGAATAGTTCACTTACTGATAAAAACGGTCGCAGATGGTTCCCAAAAGTTCGCCCACGCGATCTTCACCCTCGGGGCACTGCAGAGACAACACCAAATCATTGCCCTTGCTTGAATGGATGACGATCAGTTGGTCACGCCCACTGCTAAGGCTCAGCCCTGTGATCTACAACAATGCACAATAACATTCTTTCTTACAATCTCCATGAATCTAGGTAAAAGAAAACCTCCACCATCGAAAATTGCAACTACAATTGACAATACTAAGTAGGAGCAACGATGGTACCATACTTCTAATGTATCTGAAAACTAACTGATAAAAGAATGCGAAAAATCGTGAGTGTACGAGAACCAAGCAAAGAAAACACGCATGTTCCTGTAAATCGTAGCAAGAACATGACAAAATCATGACAATAGGAAGGGAGGACAATTTCTGGAAAAACTGAGAAATCAAAACATGTGAAATATACACTTGTGAAACTAGTGGTGCTATAGAATGGCACAGACTTTCTCGCACTAAATGTTTCCAAATCTTTGTAGACTATCATTTCGGTATTGACATATCCCCTTCCCAGCTCCTATCTATCGGCGCCAAAATACATTTTTTCTTCTTCACATTTTCTCAATTTTTGATCCCCCTAATAGAAGAACTGACATATTTATAAAAATATTACAGAAAAGTAAAACAGTCGTCTCTGCAATTTTCATTGAAAAAAAATTGGAGCAGTTTTTGGGAAAATTTCGATTGAACGTTTCCGAAAATTAGCAATTTTAAGCTCATTTTTACGGAAAAGTTTTGAGTTTTCGTGAAGCTTCTACAAAAATAATTTGAATTGCTGTGTTCACAATTTGAATTGCTGTGCTGTAGTTGAAAACGCCAAATAAAGTTTCAACTTTGGAATTTTAGAAAATCAACAAGTTAATAAAATCTTTGGATCCATTTTAGAGAAAAAATTGAAAAGCAAAGCACCCCCAAAAAATTAAAACATCAGTTTCACATTCAAGGGGTAACAGTCCCTGACATTAGGGTCAGATTGATTGAGGATTATGAATTTTGGTATTTGGAATTTTGATTGATTGATGATTATGAAGTACCATACAAAAATGGAGAAGATCCGATTTTCTATGAAGCCTATAGATTTTTTTATTTACAAAATTTGAAAATTCTTTCTACTTATACCAAAGGCATCTCAACTTTATTTTATTTTTGCTGGCTGCAGAGTAATATTACAAAATATTTCAAAGCTATGCTTGCACAGGGTCACATTTTCCAGAAAGTGGTAGCAACAATGTCACCTACATGCATTGGGGACTGAATTTAACTAATTTTGTATTTAAAAAAAAAACTTTTTTGGGGTAATTTGAAATTATATCTCACTACCTTTGTCTAGGCCATTTAAAAGTATTTGAGCAGAATTTGGAAGTAATTACTTCAATGATTCAGAAGGTTTTGAAGAACAATTATATACATACTTACGTAGAACTAAGTTTACTTTCATATAATTCATTTTGTAAGTTATATTTCAATGTACTACAAATTTTGAAAGTTTGTTTCCATCAGACATGACAAAGCTCCCTCATAGCAATTCTTCCCTATATACACGTTTTAAAAATTATATTAACTGGCTAAATTATTCATGCATTTTTAAATTATGGAAGGAATTGCTTTTACAATAACATGAAAATATAGCACTAACTTTGCAGTTAAGTGGTTAATTTCTTCAATGTTGTTCTCATTTTCCCTTCAAGCCTGCTGTGAACCCCTGCAAGTAGTATATATACCACTGTTTGTGAACCTCTGCTTTAAATGCCTTTTATATTCATGCCAACATTGCAAAGGTATATCATTCCAATAACAATATGCATGATTAAATACAAATACTATCCACTTTGTTGAAAGAAAAATATTCCCCTTCACCTCAAAACTAATTCAACTACAATATAGCAATAGAGTGAGTACCTTTTTTTATAAGAACATTAAAATTTCAACATTCTTAGGTCAAAATATAATACAAAATGGGAAAAACAAATGTAACATTTATTATAATACTATTGAATTCTAGTCCATGCTATTTCTATAAAAAATAAATAAATAATAATAATAAAAAAACAAAAAAAACGATTAAATGAAATATTAAAAAAATATAAATTTTCAAGTTTGTATAAAGTGTTGTATTATTAGCGTTGAGGGTCAAGTTGTGTTATCATTCAATTTTGGAACATTCCATATATTTCAGAAATAAGAAACAAAATGTGCAAGTGAACATACAATCCACATGTCAATAAAACGTGAAGCCAAGGTTTCATGCAATAGAATGGGTAAAATGCAACAAAGCTTTCAATTGCTTCTAACATGCACAGCCACATAATAAATAAGCAAATGAGAGCATACTTTTTTGTACAATATGATCAATTTGTAACTGGCAATGATCATATAATATAATTAGAAAATTAGCAACAATATATATAATTCAAATTAATAAATTTAAAAAAAATTGAATTGTACATTTTCAGATTAGCCTTTATATATTTTATCACCGATGGTTATTTCACACCAATGTGACTTAAATAACTTATTTTATGTAATATAAGGTTTTAAATATTTACTAAATAGAATCTTGATAGGAATTAATTTTCACTTATTCTCCTATATCATGGCATTAGGAAAATAATTTCAAAATCATATGCAAATAAGAAAAATACCTACACCTAATTAGAAAGATTAGGAGCACCAATAAAGAACACATTGCTTCCAGAGTTTGAACTGATCAGTCAATTTAACAGCAAGCAAGAATATGTGAGGAGCAAAATCGAGTAGTTTTTAATAAGTTCTACATGCTCCTGCTTTTAGATCAAAATGCCTTTTAACACATTAAATTAAACATGTTTGGAAGAAGTCTGAAAGCAGGAGAACATACTTAAACAATACATATTAATTAAATTAAACACTACACAATTTCATATTGAACTCAATTTTAATTAGTTGCTCCTTATATTCTTAATGAATTCTACTCTCAACAAGGGTGACCATATTTTTTCTCTCAATTTTTGGCAATTTCTTTATCCACCATCTCTTTAATTTCTTTTTCTTGAACTTATTTTCTAACTTTTTTATCTCTCTGAACTTATTTATCCTCTCTGGCGAGGACCATTATTTTTTACACGAGAAGAGAAGACAATAAAATAAAATGGAGGTGAGGGGGGGCCTGTATTTGAGAGCAACAGAATTTCAAAGTTGTAGACAAGTTCATGGGATAATTACACAATTAAAATGATAGGGAAACTACAATGCCTTCTGAAACGTATTATCTATCATAAATCTCACAAATTTTCCACACTATAGCAAAATTCAACAAGAGGTTTTGACAAAAAAGATTTTTTTTTAAAAAGGTGTCCCGTTTACATTTGCAATGAGTCTCTAAACCATTACATGGGCATTTAACGCTTGCCTTTAGAGTAATCCTCCATTAACATATTTGTGGCATTTGAAGTAATCCAAAGGAGTATTTGCCTGTCATTCAGTCTTACTGCAGTCTGTTGTCAAGGGGACATCTCAAATAGCATCTCCGCGAATGTGCCTCTTACCCCTGCGTCACTACCATGCGGCCAGAATTGGAAAGGAATTAGGACAAAGTAGGATTTAGGATGCTTCACAGGGGTTGGACTAAGAAGGCAAATTCGTTTTGTAGCTACAAATTTCAGTGTCCAGGAATCGAACCTTTTGATTTTATGAACAATATTATTGATAGACACTACTTTCCCAAATACCCCCTCCCCGGAATTTTCGAATGAAAATTTAGGAACATTACAGAATCTACATACTTTGTATGTTCATTGCCACAATGTTGTTTAAAAACAACTAACTTCAGCAATTTTAACTGCATTAGATCCTAAGAAAATTGCAGGAAGGTTGTCTTGGATCCATTTTTAACACTGTTTAAAAAATTGTTTCACATTGAGATACTTGCATATTTAGCCCCATTTATTGTTGCTAATTTTTGGGAAGAAAAGGGAGAAGAAAGAAACAAAGAAAGAAAAAGAGAGATTATATTAAAGAACACATGTTAATTTTGTCCATATTTTCAAAACTTTTCCTCAAAAGAGTTTGTAAAAGGATCTTACAATGTACTGCATCTATTGACTACTTGAACCTCAACTTGTTTCTGATATAATAGTACATGGACTTCAACTGAAAACTATAAAATATAAACATAATAACGGAAGTGCGCATAAAGAAGTGTATGCAAGATAGTGTTCCTTTCTTTCACCTTCAATAAAAATTTCAAAATTAAATTTGTCTTATAAAATCTGCCAATGCACCCTCATTTGTACTTATCATTAGAATACAAGAACTATCTAACTGTAATGACTCCTCCTGATCATTGCCAGTGTCAAGTAAAAAAAAAAAAAAAAATTATATATTAACATATACATTATATATATATACATTACAGCATATATATATATATAATGATATATATATATATATATTATATCTATATAATATAATATATATACATATATATATATACATATATAATATATAACATATATATAGTATTACATATATATTATATATATAAAATAAGCCAAATCAAACCAGCAACTACACCCCAGTCTCACAACAAATGTAAAGAAAAAGAAGAAATCTAATACTGGGGGACAAAAAACGAACAAAGAACAAAAAATTGCCAATATCCTTGAGAACAATCTCATATTAACGAGCAACACTAAAGTGTTCTTGCATATAATAATGGAGATTTTCATGCCGCCTTTGTTTAGTAATGATTATGCCCGCAAGGACCGTGACTGGGGAGGGGAGCTGATGACAGAATGAGTGGTGGAGAAGCTCTGCTCTGCAAAACTGTCAAATAATAAATTTAGCAACTTGCTTATGGGCTCTAAAAAGAGAAAGGTTGCACCGAGAGTAAGATTTTAGAAATTTTTCTTTTTAAAACACCGTTTAACCTTTCATGTATGAATCGCAGATAATGATAAAGCAAAAAACTCAAATTTTATAAGTATGTGTACATTAGATTTTACCACTAGAACTGCATGAAAGACAGTCATGCCCTTGGAATGGTAGGTTTTAGCCACGGCACCAACAGCTTTTAAAATAAAATATATTTATTTATAGTCCGCATCAATATCATTATTATTTAGGCA